GTCTGGGTAACTTTAAAGTTCCAGACTACCCGAAAGGCAAGGCATCTCTCCTGAGCAGCATCCTCTAGCCAGCACCCAAAGTTGGGGGCGTAGGTCCAGTACTGGCATCGGACGTCTGAGTAGCACATGTGCTTGCAAAAGAGGACAGCATCCGCGCTGTTCCTGGCAGCATGCGGATGCCGAGCTCAATTGCACCAAACCACAAGCCTACGTCCACAAGGTTTGGTAATCAGGCGCCCCTCCATCTGGTTGGCTCCCTGATGACATTGAGTTCCTTGCTTTCCCACATCCAGGGTGAATCATCCGCCATTTTCTGGGTTTGCAAGGTGAAACAGCTGATCAAATGAGAGCTCATCAACTGACCCCTCGCCGGCCCGCATCTCCTTTGCCAGGGGTGGTTTCCAAATCGCAGTCGCGGAATCACTCGCAGAATTGAGATGGGCCGAGGTAGTCTCGGATTCGCAATTTAGATTTATGAGGCAATTTGTGTGCTGTTGTCCCCCGACCAAACCATGAAACTCTGGTTCCTGAAGGGCTCGAACGAAACCAGCCCACTCTTTAGTCCGAAACGTGTCCCAGACGGGCTTTGGCCGACTCTTGCAAGCGCAAACATCTTGCTCACGACTAAGACTTCTCTTCCTTCAAACAAAATCCCACATCTAGTCCTCGTCGAAGAGAAAGACTCGCTTCATTGTGCGCAAAGGTTCTGATTTCAGGGAACACACATATTTAGAAGAAAGACCTGGCCAACTCATACCTTCTCAACACTCCGCCGTGTCGACAGAACTCTGCCAAGATACTCAAAAAAGCCCTCGCTGTTGTCAAAGCCCTTCCAAAGGCCTTTGCATCGTGCGCGGCTGGTTTCCTCGTGAGCCTCCGGTTGATTTCATGGCTGGTGTTTGTTTCGCTGTTGTGTTGGTGCCCTTCTCACAGCAACTCGGAGGGTCGATTCTGCAAAGATTGCAAGTAAACCAACCACACAATGACAGTGAATTACAAGGCTTCCCTTGTTTTGAAAGCGAAATAACGTAAGCTTGACAAAGACATCCTGTCATCTAGATTACTGGGGCCATGGCGTAGTGGGTTCCGGCTTAGTCCGATCAGTCTAGGGTTCCCATTCCTCGATCACACCAAGCAACTTTTCAGATATTTTAGCCGTGACTGTGAAACTTAATCATGAGTGTAGATGAATCTTCCGAAAGGTCTCAGGAAAACACAGCTCCTGAGTTTTCCCCCTCCTGGCTTGGGCCTGGGGACATTGGGGTTTCACTTGCTGACACCAACCACCAAGAACCCGAAAGATGTTCCTCAACTGCAGCATTTGCAAAGCACTTGCCCTGAACATGGCAACAACCCCATGGCGGCCCGATTTGCACATGCCAGCTGGTTTGCAGACATCCAACTCAAAGATACAGGCGGCAACAATGTTCCCAGGGAGAGCAAGGGAATTGCCAACTGCCAACCCACCCCAACCACGGAATGGCAAGCAATGGCAGCTGGCGATGTAGAATAGTAGCTCAAACGTTGCAGGAAGGTGAAAATGAGGAAGGAATTTCTGAGAGGTTCCATTACTTCAAGTACGTACAGCCAAGATCATCTAGGGTCCAGGGTTGCTTGCACCCAATTGCCGTGCATTTTGTTTAGGAACTGCAAGCCTCCGGCCAAATGCAGCTTGGCTGCCCACGATCTGCATGCCGGTGAGGTCCTCGCAAATCTTGCCATTATCTTGTTGTTCCAACTCGTTGACCCTCGCAGCACAAAACAAACACGCCTTGAGGGCTTGTCCTGGGTATTTCAAGCGACCTCGAAGATCCATGCATGAAGCTCTGGTGAATGGGTCTGTCCCAGTACACCGGGTTGGCAGATCGCTACTTCTGCTTTTCTCTCCCCTCCCTTCAGCCATGATTCTAACCTTGACATCTGAAAGTTCTCCGAATTGATCATCCCTCAACTCAGACGAATGGTCGGCCCCTTGGCTTCCGCCGGTGCTTCGCCATAGGCCCTGACTCCCCAAGCCCCGTCCTTCAGCACGCGCACGGAGCCATGTTGCAGCCTCTGCGCCTCTCGCGGCACAAAGTTGCTCCTCACAAAGCAGTCCTGGATCCGGAGCCGACGGCGCCGACGGCGCCGACGGAGCCGACGGAGCCGACGGAGCCGGGAGAGTAGAGGGAGGCGTGACAGAAATCAGACTCAGTGGAAAACACCATTGAAGCCATAGTCCTGCCTGACGGGACTGCCATGTGCAATGGGGCAAAGGGTTGGGGAAAGATTTGGCTCGATCGAAGCTCTATCCCCTGGTCCTTGCCCAGCCCTTGCCAGCAGCTGTAGTAGACAGTGTTCTGCCAAGACTGGCAGGTCGACTGTTGTCGGCAGTTCTCACCTCGGCCAAGAAAAGGAAAAAACGAGTCAAGTTCAGGGCTCTGTTGCCCCTTGTTTTTAGGGCTGGGATATGCGGCAATTTGGTCTTGGCAGCTGGGAAGCTTGGTAGCACTGAGCTCATCAAGTGGGGCGGTCGGGGCCCGGGAACCATGGAGTTAGATGTGGCAGGCTCTGACGGTGAGAACCACTGCGCCCTCGTGACCAAACCCGGCACTGGCGCATCAGGTTTCTGTTGTCTGTGATTTCGATAATGGAACTTGGGGTTCGGAAACATCCCAACAAAAGGCCTGGGATTGTTGTTGCTGGAGGGTGCAGCGTAGCTGTCAGTGGTTCGAGCTGGATCTGGGGTGCAGCTACTGGATGAGGATAAGAACGCTCGATTCCCATGTGTCCCTTGCTGATCTGTCGAAGCAAAAACAGAAGTGAAAGCCATTGTCGTTCGGAAACCTTTCCGAGTGAGGCCTCCTAGATTTCCCAGTTTGAAGGTACCCTCTCTGTTGGCAGTGTCTGTCCAAATCTTCGCTGACTGCCCGAGATAAATTCTTCGGAGCGAAGCTCATCCGGCCTCCCTTGACCCAATGGCCCATTGGCTCCTCATACACCCGGATTACCTTCTTGCCCGAAACGCCGCTAAAATGCCTTGGACACCTTTTTCCCTTGACACACGCTGCAAGTGGATTGACAAACACAAACCCTGCAAAGAGTGAAACGAAAGCTGAAAGAAGTGACACTCTTGCTATGTGTCGTTTGAAGCAACAATGTCCCTTTGTAACCATACAATGCGATGACCATCAGGTGGCATGAAAAATACAGATCATGTCTGTTCATCGCATTTCTCTACCCTCATCCATGTCTCTGGCTTGTTGGTTAGCGTCTGCTCGCTTTCGCTGTTGCCAAAAGCCCATGTTCAGTTGGTCATCTCAAAGGGATAACACTGGGTCAAGGGACAATCAAGGACCTTTCAGAGGCATCCGCTTGATGGAGGGTGTGCAATGTGGGTCTGTCCTTTTTTGAGGGTACCTTTTTTGGGGTTGGCTTAAAAGGGACACCAAAAATAAACCACTTGTTTGGAGGGGTCCCCTATTTTGACTACGAATATATATATATATATATATTCATGAGGCCATTTTGGGACAGCCCAAGCAGATTTGACTCATTGACGTCTTGGCTCCCCACCACACTCGGTGCCGTTCACATGTGGGATCTCCTCAGGCCGAGAAACTGGTCGTGTGGGACTGTCTGTTTTTAGGGTCTTGAAGGGAAACCAACCGATTTTGGGGTAACCATATCTCATCTCCAAAACCTGTTTGCTTCTCTTTTTGCAGGCGTCTGATCTATACCAGCCGCAGACATGACTACATGCCCATCAATCCTAGGAAGGACAACTCCAACAGCCACCCCCAACTCCAAGCACGCTTACCCAGTGCGGCCTTTCAGAGTTTCCGGCGTTTCAATGCAAAGCACGGCCCGGGCCCGACCCTTGATTCCATAGGCAAGCAGCTAGAGAGGCTACCGCTAGTTCCAGCATGTGCTGATCATCTTCCCATGTTTGAGTTCGGCAGACTACTGGAGGATTGGCGCCCAAGGATTGATGTAAGTACGGTTTCTATCTTGAAAAATCGGTTTCCAGTGATGGCGAATAGTCTGGTACTTTGGTTGCATGTGAGAAGGGCAAGCTGAGTTAAACGCAAGGATTTGACCCGTCGTTTGCTGAAAGTAGATTTCGGGGCGACACCTACGGGGCAGTACAGCAAAGCTGCATGTGCAAAACATGCCTAGCCTGCTTGCTACTTCGCCTTTGCCCCGGGGGTCGTAGAATGAATTCCCAAATAAGGGCCAACTACATCACACAAGTTAAGAGTAGCATTGCCAAACTGTGATACAATCCCAAGTTGGATTCGTATCAACAGGCATGAATCCACAAATTGTGCATTGTTCACGCAAGGCAGAGCCGTGGGGCGATGCCGATATTATCCGCTATCATTTGTCCGAAACCATGTGCAAGAAGCACACGCCTTGGTCACACAAAAACATGCATTACAATGCCTGTATGTGTGACTTCCATGCAACAGCCGGGGATGCAAGCATGTCATATCAGGTTTCCTCGAAATAGGGCACCCTTTAAAACTTTCAAAAGGGACACGGAGGGTCTGTCCTCCTTGGAAATTTCGGATGAATACGGAAACTTCGAAAAAGTGCCTTCCTTCGAAGATGCCCTTTCCCCCCCAAAAAAAAGAAGAAGAGAAAGGTAGGTCGCCTCGCAAAAGCTTTGAGTGACCATCCCCAATAAACTGGTACCGGGGCTGGGTAGAACTGACCTCGCCCATTTGTTCAACGACAAGGCTCAACAAGACCTGAGCACTTCCCGGGCCAGCCGTTCTTGGTGTCGTCTAGGACCGACACCTCCGGCTAGCATGCACGTCAGCTTTTGACAAATGGAAGTGCACTGTGGCTCCTTTTCCAAGAGGGGCAGCAGTCTTCCAAGATTGGATTGTACACTCCCAGGTTGGTGGAGGGTACACTTCCACGAAACAGTGAAACACCAATGACCAAACATATAGTGGAAGTTCACAAAGGTGTATATAGAACTGCGTGGCCAAAAAACAGGACTTAAGCGAGGAAGCTCCATTCAGCCAGGCTGACCCCCTATATTTCCCAGGAAGAAAGGAAGGACACCTGAAAACGACTATGTTCACAACGAAACTACAGTAGCTGTTTTCGGGCCGATTTGCACAAGTTCTACATGGATATTTTCCCAATACGTTGTGCAGATTGCAGGCTTATTGGGAGGTCAAGCCTTTGGACTACGCAGATTCTACGGAAAATAATTTCTCTACCAATTGAGCTCCGTGGAACCGAAATCTCATTGACTTGCAACTTGTTTGATTCTGCGGGTCTGCAAAGCGGCCAAATATGCTTCACGATGAAATCCGAGAGTCAATGTTCGGCATAACAGCAATAACACATTCAAAAACACTAATAAACATATTCGGGTTCTATATTATATAAGCTCCGGATGCTATATAGGGTTTTTGCGGGGGTTCTACGATGACATTGTTTGGGTCATGGTTGCTGGCATGGACCTAAGCCAACCCAATGGAACATATCTGGGGGGTCTACGTTTCTTTGTGCACCATTTTGGGTTGTACCCTCAAGTGCTTTGGTTGGGGGTCGAGGTGGGCGCCCCTTTGTACCCTGAACAGCATGGGGTTCAAATGCCCAAGCCACCAATCCAAGCCACCAAGTAGGGCTTGACTAAACGCAAAACACACGCAACAACAACAAAAAGTCATACAAGGCTTGGTTGGATGCTTGCACCGGTGAGTGGTGAGAAAGCCTGCCAAGGAACTCCTGAGGACCCCTCATGCTTGGGGCTTCCCACAGCCCACGAATCCTGCAAGGCTCTTATAAGAAGCTCTCCAAGCTGTTCAGTGCAGACCCTCGTTTCGCCAGCCTCTTTCAGAATGCGGATAGGGACCCGTTTGCGCTTCTAAAGGCAGGACTAGGGTTGGGGCCTGTTGCCAATGCCCCCCACGTGTTCGGTGCAAGATTGACAAACCTATAGTGTGCTCCTGCTATTCCCTACTATCCCAGTACCAAAAACACAGGCGTTGTTTGACTTCAAAAGGGACACCCCGCAAACAACGCAAAACGAGACCCTTCACTGGGATGAACATTTTCGCCGCGCCTCCTTGCAGGGGGCCGGTGCGCCGTCCCACTCTTTCGGCCAGCACTCCAAATTGCTGGGCTGCTTGCCGCCTGCGCTGGAAAATTCGGAAAACCCGAAGCCTGGAGCCATGGAATCTATGGCTCAAATCCAAGAGGCAATAGTTTTCCCCTTTCAAAAGTACGCCATGATATGTGTTGGTTTCGCTTCGCAAAGCAGGTTTCCGGTTTCTTCCAAATGGTTCCGATTTCTGCTCTTGATGCTTAAAATGGAGGGATGCCACGACATGCTTTCAAGGCGTCACGCTGAAGATGACGATCCCATTTCGGCGCGTTTGGTTGGTTGATTTGTTTCACATATTTCAGTGAACCTTTACGGATCATTGTGTTTTGAGAGCAGCCCAGTGCACGCAGCCAAGATTGAAGATAAGGGTAATCTGGATTTAAGCTATCATTTTGATCGTCGCTTTTTGCTTGAATTTTGAAACCCTGATGGCTACTACACGTTCTAAACGATTACTGTCCTTTTGGCGTCCTCCACGAAACAGGGATGCCGCCGAACGGTTGATCTGTCCTTTTGCTGGTAGGATTGTTCAAACGGCTGATCGCCAAGAGAGTCTTCTCCCACGAAGTCCGAGGCCAAGTTGTGGTTTTCTGACGATAAACGCCAAGAACCGGGAGATTCTCCCTTAAGCTTCGCGATGTTTGCACGGGCGTGTCTCAAATCATAGGTGACTATGACTAGGTGACCTTTTGGCAAAAATAGACGGCCCTGGTGAACGGAATAAAACCAATGCAAACCAGTGCCATCTATTTCTAACCAAACTAACTAAAAAAGGACACTTATGGTCTAAAAACAGGGAACTCACCTTGTTGGGTTTGAAAAAAATCAAGGTAAAACCAGAAGACACCTGGAGGGGACCACAAACGCTCAAATGGCTAGGCCCTGGTGAAATGTCTATATGTTGCCCACATCCAACCCAGAGATACTGTCGTATACGGAGGTAAAACCACATAGGATGTCTCTGGTTTCTCCCTCTTCCCTGGCAATAGGGCTTCTACCCCTAAGCCTCTAAAACTCTCGTCTTGGATTCCAGCTGGCTTGAACACGCGGCACGAAATTGAGGGCCAAACCAGCCAACCAACCAACCAACCAACCAACCAAGCAAGCAAGCAAGCAAGCAAGCAAGCAAGCAAGCAAGCAACCAACCAACCAACCAAGCAGCATCCATCCACAAAGGACGCCTGAACCTAAAGCCAGTGCAACCCAATGGGATTTTCAACGAGAGATCCATCCGCAGACCGCCCCCCTGCCTGGCCAAGCCAAGTCGGAGGCTTGCGCCGTCTGGCCGGGGAAGCCGTTGCCCGGCGTCTCGGTTCTACACCTGAAGGCACGGAACGAACGGCTTGGGACCGTTTGAGACCAACCCGAAAACCGTTGGGGGGGTGGCTTCCCTGCATCAACCAACAAACAGTTTGGCCGTTTGTGCACGACTTTGACCGCTGTTCGCCTCGGAAGTATTTGGCCGCCAACAGAAGACGGCCATGCTTCCCATACTATCTGCACTGACCCAAAGCTGTGAACTGAGCCCCGGATCACCAAACCCCGGCTGTTTCACCATAGGTTTTCCCATCAAAAGCCAACGCGCGCGACAACTCGAACTGTAAACCCGAACCCGCCTACCCGGCATCTGCATGTCCTGCTGGCTGCAGGTCTTGTAGCCTGGCTCTGAGATTCAGTACGCTGGATGCGTCGGCTCAAGGCTGCGTCTTTGCGCCCAAGGCTGTCTTGATGCCTGGAGTTGACTCCAACAAGAAATATGGTGCAGCTGCAGCCGGCATGTGAATCATTTCAAGCAAGCACCTAGTGGCGCAGTTTGCCAATGTGGACTTTTGGTGTATTAAATAACATGCACACAGATGTATATGTTGGTGGATACGTGTGTATATATATATGCATATGTCAGCTTTATTTTTATATTATTCGAGGCAGGCAGAGCAACAAAGGCAGTTCATTGGGTGCGGTGGCCATATGTGTATGTATATATATATATATAGTCTCCCGGGTTTGCGCTCTTGGTTGGCTTGTGAAGCAAAGCAACCACCTACCCCACCTACCAAGGAAACCAGCACCACATTGACAGCATGCCCGTTGGCGTTGCTTGAGTGGCAAGATGGCGGAATCACTCCATAGCCACAGCGCCCAGGTCACTCTATTTCAATACCCAGATACACCCGGAGTGTCGGGGGTGCAGTCGCCAAGGGTGCCTTTTATTGCTCACGACGCAGACTACACTTTCACAGAAGCTCACAGCGCTGGTTTTGGGTGGGCACGGCGATAAGATCGCATCCATTCGCATCCTCATTACCAACCAAATCAGCAAATTAGGACACTCCCAATCATGCAGCACATCTGCCCGGCACACTTCGGGCGCAAATCTTGCCAGGCGCGCCCATGATTAAATACGAAGAGCCCGTCGGTGCTTCCACCGCGTTCGCGTCCTCAAAGCAAATGAGCGAGCCAGCCGGCATATGGGTGAGGTCTGCAAAGACACGTTTCATGGGGTGGAAGTCAAGGGGCCTAAAGGCAAAACAACACCAATATGTTTCCCAGGTGTTTCCCTAGGTTTGTTGACTTCACACCAAGCAAGCTTGTGACACTTGGACGTTGGCACTAGTGATAAGAATAATAAATATGTATGTCGGTTCTCCTGGCAGAGCAACCAAAAGCAAGCCGTGACTCACGCGCCGCGACTCGCCTCTCTCACTCCCGCCCAGTCGTGACAAGCATTCAAGAGAGCGCGAGGCAAAGCCACAGAACTCAGGCCGAGGCAGCGAACCAACCTTGGCATCGACAATTTTCTGTAGTTGGCAAGAAATGTATTTTCTTTCCTCCGCCAATGTATGTCCTTAATTGATTAGATGTTCGAAACTGGCTGATTAGCGGTTTTATTAGGTGTGTCGGGAAAGTCCTGCAATGGGGGAACCTCCAAGAATACCTCCAAAAATACGCGGGCTCTTTGTGTTTTGCCTTTGAAACAATTGGGAAAGGGGAAGATGTTCTCTCCCTACATTTAGCTGTCCTTATTCCATGCTTCAAAAAGTATCCAGGTGGCATCTAGCTTGTTTATTCTCGAGCAAATTTTTGGAAGGACCCCCAGAACAAGTTAGTGCTGGATGAATCAGCCCCAACTCACTTCTTACTCTTTAGGATGGCCATCCCTTCTTCCTTCTCGCTAGGTTTCCTGTTGGTTTCCCTTTAAACACCCAAATCGCTCCCCATTTTCTGAAGACTTTGCAGCGCCAGCTGGGCTGGTCATACACCCGCGCATCCGCAAGCCAAGTGCCTACAAGCTCCATGGGTCAGATCAGTCTGGCGACCAATCAAATGAATCTCAAAAAGCATTCGTTGGCAATTATAGCAGGCCGTCGCCTCCAGTGAGAGTTGGAAAATCGCTTTGGGTGTCGTATCCACCCTGCAACCATCTGGCTGATCTGGGGTCCCCATTGACCTTTCGTTTGATGGTGGATTAAACTGAAAGAAACCCAGACGCACAAAACTACATCTGGAACGCCAACAAGATACCGGAGGAAGGCCAGAATGGTTATCGCGAAAAAGGCCAAACTTTACATCCAGGGTTCATTCTAAAACCGAGGGCCGCCACAAGATTCTCCTCAATACCCAGCTTCTTCTTTTCTTTGGAGGGGTCCCTCACAGCACTTTCCAGTTGAAATTTCACTTCCGAGTGCTCGGCCAAGGCAAAACGCCAAAGCCAAGGCACACTCTCCGTAGAAGGCCTTATAGGTGAACTTTGCACAGCCCGGCACGTACTGGCAGTGCTCCTGGCACAGCCTCAGATCTGGTTGAAGTGATCTGATGATTCTGCCTAAAAATGCCGGACCGTGTCCCTTGTTGCTCGGCTAAGTGCAAGCAAACGTGCACCATGGAGCCCCCCTGGTTTCAGGCAACACCTATAAGGCAGGTGGCTAATTTGAAAGCTTACTCTTGTGTTGTCAAAACTTGTTTGATCTCGTTGTATACTCGGCCTAAGAGGAGCCTCTCGGTTTGCAGAGGCTGCTGCTTGACTGTTCAAGCAAGGGATGGACACACGGTTCCAGGTTTGGAGTGGCTCATTGGCTCCATGCCTTGCTTTCGGCTGAAAACATCGGTGTGTGGCGCGACAGTCAGGCGTCGCACATGTAGTTGATAGCTCATTTTACCCAGAACGCACGCGTGAGATAGCTGCGGCTGCAACGGGCATGAAGCCGACCATGTTGCCTTGACATCCAGCATACACACGAGGCGACATGGCCATGAAGCTCACCTTGTCTTTGAAGTGAAAACTTGAAAAGCTTGGCGTCATGATCCTCCAGTTGATCCACTGCTCACGTGACAGGGTGCTTTCTGACTGAAAAGCTGTGAGCGTAGCCCACAAACTTTTGAGAGTGCAAACCTGCAATGTGGGCGTTGGCGAGGCTTTGCAAGCCTCGGCGCCAAGCACATGGTTCCAAGCAAAGCAGGCTTGCTAATCTGTCTTCTCACGACATGTTTGCAACTGGAAGAAAATGAGGCACTCCAGGAACCGTGCAGATGGGCAATGGTCTTAGACAGCAAAGCCATGGTTTCGCTACGCGCTCGCTTTGGACCTGCACTTCTTTGCGCTTGTTCACTCTTGGTGTATCTAATGCCCCTTGCAAAGAATTCTCGCAACCACTTGATCTCGCGTCATCTCGCTTCGTATAGTCTTTTGCGCCGCTACATCTCTATGCGTTGTTTTGGAGGCACCGACTCCTTTTACCAAGATATCCCGGCCTTTAAGAGTACTCCAATCATACCAGTACCTTCTCAATTGCTCGTTTTATCGGTTGGCCCCTGGAGGGAAACTCAAAGCGGGAAGTGATTTGTACGGATTTTGGCCACTCGCCAAAAGCATCGTCACAAGACTCATAGCATGGAATGAAGGGGAATCGATATCGGCGAAGCAATCAACTATGTTGCTCCGGATCCTCTCAAAGCCAGGCGGCTTGAGGCTGGTGGTGTTGATGTTGGTGTTGGGAATGTACTGAGTGAAGTGATAGCCTCCGCATCTCCATGGGGCGTTTCAAAGGAACATCGAAGAGGACACAACCCATTTCAGAGAGGCTCCCCCATTTGGAAACGGGAGGCCCGTCATTTTACAACACCGATTCGCGATAATCTTGCAACGCACTCAATTCCACGGTCGTTTTACCTCACACGGACACGAGCTGCAGTCAGTTCTCAACATCTCGACCTTCATTGGCGAAAATGCGATCGTTTTATAACAACATATACACCGAAATAGAGATCATGTTGCAAAACTTTGGCTAGCAACTGGCGATCTGTTTGGAACGCACGGATATACAGGACGATCATTTTCCAACACAAAGACCAACCCGGACCAACCGACCCATCAGCGTCACACACTCTAGCCCCATGCCGCCAAATGCAAAAAAGCGTCAGACCGGATTGCGACTACGCATGGTCTCCTAAGGTTTAAACACAAACCCGTCCGCCCAACTATTTTCCGACTGCTCCAGCTCGCAAAACCGATGGACGCAGGGTGGTGTTGTTAGGGCACCTGGTGCCAAACCCCCTGCTTCACGCCCTTGGAGATGCTCTGCGAGGGTCAAAAACACTAGCAAGCGGCCGAAAGCCTTCTGAGGCCACGCAACGCGTCTCTGGGGACTCCAGTGACTCCATTGGTTTTAGCGGCCGAAAGACTACAGGGCTAGAAAAGCGAGCGTCTGGAAGCCATAGAAACCATGGAAACCATGAAAACCATGGGAAACCATAGAAACCATAGAAACCGTAGAAACCATAGAAGCCATGGACACCATGCAAACTATGGAAACCGTGCAAACCCCAGAAATGCGCGTTGAAAAACGATCAGATTTGCGCGCTGCAAAACGATCGGGAAAGCGCGCTGTAAAACGACCCCCTTTCCTTTGGAAGCAAGCCTAGAGCAACTGGCCGGCACTCCCGAAGCAGCAACAACTTAAGCGCCGCTTATTTGGACGATGGCGGACTTCTGGAACTGCAAGTGCAATACACACTGAGGCAAGCATGGGCAAAAAAGGCTTCCGATCCCCAAGAGAGCTTTCTGCGGTTCTCTGTCCAAGTCAAATTGTGTATGCAGAATGGAGCTTTTTGTCCGGTGGCTAGGGAACAAGGGAGTTTTCCTGGAAATGTTCATATTTGGAATATGTTCCATAGGCAATCGGCTGTCGCTGCAGGCTGCAAGTTAACAGGTCCAAAGCTCTGATAAAGGGACAACTGAATCACAAAGCAAGTTACTGTAAGGTGCAAGGTAACCTCCTAGGGGGGAAAAATAGGATTCCAGGGTCGAGAGCACCTTTTGCTCAAAACTCATCATTGCCAGAGGAGGGAACGTTATGTAGGATAGAAGGCCAAATGACCCTGAGTATCACTGCATATTTGGCTTTGTCTCAAAATAGGGGAGCCTCCAGAATGAGTGCTTGTGTCTGGTCTCCAAACCTGCACGTGTTCCCTCCAAAAAGAGACACTTCCAATTATTCGAGAGAAAAACTACATGGCGCGCCTCGACTGAAGCACCCCAATGGCTGACTCCGCATGAACGCCACATCGTTCGCAGTCTGCGCGCGGGCCACAGGCACCTGAAAGGATCCGATATATTTTGTCCAAACCTTAGCTTGGTACAACTGGGTCATAAACCTGATGTCAAATCAAAACTCAGTGCAGCCCCACATAACCCCACATGCCGTGCGTGTTCTGAATGTCATGGTGAGAGCGGGCTAGCTCTGAGTCTGATATAACTCACGGGTTGAAGCAGTTCGTCTTTTCGTCATGGAACTGCCCGCAGCATGCATGCAAGAGTTGGCAAGTGAAGCTGGAGCGATCACCAAAATGAATTTAAACGACACATGGAAATTACACAACACCAACCTTGGTGATTGCCGTGACATGATTATATGTTGGATGAATGATTGATGCTCATGTACGTGACATTCCCTGGCCAGTGACAGCGGATGGAAGAATTCAACGCGCTACCCTCAACATTATCTTCCAAAGGGTGATTGCTACCGGCTTCCTGAGAAGGGCATGCGTGTTTCAGGCTCAAGCAGCAAAGGGAAGAAAACATGCACGACAAGGGAAATGCAAAAACAAAGAGCCCGAAAAGGCGGCATAAGCCCTTTCTTAACCTGAAATACTGGAATCTCAAGGAACTGCAATTATTGTGTTACGTCCTTTTATCCTCATTTTACAGATATGCCAAGTGCTTTGCAACCGCTGTTTGCTGCCTTCAAACACCTTTAAATGCTCCAATGATGCAGCATGTTCTCTCGAACGCGGAATTGTACGGCCTCAACAAGTTTGTGGCTTTGTGCTTTGATGTTTGACGACTCCTTGCAAGATAGAACCCCACAGTAAACCTGCATCAATCGCGACGCCCGACGTCTTAATCAGCCAGCAAAGGAAAGAAGTTTTCAGGTATGCGCCTGATGGGTCCTTGGCCTCTTATTTGAAAGCCTTACCAGGGTAGCAACACTGAGGTGTGGGCGGGACTTCAGTACATGTACTTCCCTAATGAGCCAATGACTTGATTGGAAGTATCCTCCAAGCACGTGTAACCTCGCAGTTTGGCCTCTAAAGCAACCGAGATGCCAGAATGTTGATCCCTCACTAATAACCACCCACGTACTAATCAGGAGAGTCCCGTTGGAAAAAAGGATACGAATCCCCACTGAACACAAATCCCCCTCAATCGTATAGCCTGAGTGTTTTTCGTGGGCTGACGTTAGCCGCCATGGTCCCTTGGTTGCCAGCAAGTCCCCCAAACTCTGGACAACACGCCCTTGCGCTTGCTCATGCGGGGGGAATACACTGGGCTGTAAAAAGAAAACAGCAAAAAACACGGAAACATGGAACGAACAAGTAATGACCGACGGCAGAAACAAACAACAACTCGCCGCGCAAGAATCCATTGGACCTATGCATCCACCCAAGGCACCAGCAGCAGCAGCCACAGCATGGCTCCAGCCCTCGGCCTGCCAAGACCGAAAAAAAATGGGGAAAAAACTTGAGACCCCGGTCCGGCCGATCCGATGGGCTCTATCAATCAGATTCAGCTTGATTTGTAGTCATGTTTAACATGCAAAATGAATCGCAACAAGATGCAATTGCCAGATGATGTTGCAAAATACATCCATGGTCTTCGCCCAGTGACACCCCACAAGCGACACCCCGGACCCCCGCCACCGCCACCACTAAAATAATTCCCCTGTCTCTTCTTGTCCAGAATTTCTTTTCTAAGAAGAACAAGCATCTGCAAACCATATCCATCCCCAAACTGCCGATTTGATTACACATCCTTTATGCAGAAGTGCCCAGCTGACAAATTTCCAAGGGGGGGTAGCACATTGCCCCCCAAATCCCCAATAGTGGAAACCCAGTTTGCAAAGTATGTCAGGCTGAAAAAAAAGGTACTAAATCAATTTAAAACCAGCATTAGGCAAAAGTGGACCGAAGAGGACCGAAGGCAACCGAAGCAATACTAAACCAATACTAAACCAATACTAAACTAATACTAAACCAATACTGAGCCAGTACTAAACTTGGGATAGGCCAATCTAGCTCTTTGCTGAAGCATACCCAGTTCAATGTGCGCATGGGGTCGGCTATGAGGGAGCCGCACTAAGGCGCATTTGCGCGTTCTTTTTGGGAGAACTATCTTTTGGTTGGTTTTGAAAGGAAACCAAAGGGATACCAATTTTGAGGGTACCCTTAAAAAAACACGCACAAACACACACACACACACTCAATTGGGGGGGTGACGGTTCGAGTGGAACCGCCCCGCATACCCGCATACCCCTGCCATTCGGCCCAGGCTTGCCCCGAACAAAGGGGCGCCTCCGGCCGGCCGTTCTTTTCGCGCCAAGGCCAGGCGGAAAGCTCGAGCCAAAGCGGGCATCGGAGTCCATACTGATCCTCCTGTGGATGGACGATATCCGGCACCAGTTTGAAACCATGCGAAACCATTGTTGGTTGGTATTTATAGGCGGAATCGAATCATTCCAAGGTTTCTGAACGGTGGTGCGAAATAGGTTTCGTCCACAGTATGTGGCCATTGTCCCCACAAACAGTTTAACTTGTTGCTCCCGTATCGCTATGGTTGGGAAAGATATACCGGTCTAAGATGAGAATCTAACCAGAGAACAGAATGAGGAACAGGCAAAAGCGCGGGCTAGTTGTGGAAGCACCTCCGTGTTTACAGTTGCAGGTGATCCAACCAAACATCAGCCATGGTTGTCTCGCCTTTTTGGTTTTGAAGGACTAAAGGGGTCCTCATATCGCCGACTTCAACTGTCAGCGGAATCAGATGCAAGCTGGTCGTTCCACGGAAACCAAAAGGAAACCGACCAAAAGGGGTCCAGGTCGTATTTTCAGACCCCTAGCAGCCAAATCAAATAGTGAACTTGCTGAATCTGGTTCCTTCATTGTAGGGCGGCCAACAAAAGGGTGCTTGCCGAGTGGAGACATCATTCAGACAAACCCGCATGGCTTGCGGGACGCGCCTACGGATACGGATATCCTTCGGCTTGGCTGGCCATGCCAACCGCTTGGATCTCACACTCTCTGCCGCCGCTTGGATTGGTGCCAAACTTTCAAGGCTTGCTTTGAAGCGGAAACAACATCAAAAACCCGTCATTTGCAGTTTTAACACAGCTTGACAAACAAAGGAACAGCGGCCATGAGGTAAAAAAGGACACCCCATCTCGTGCTGTTGTCGTTTCGCGAGAAATTCAGGCAAGAAATATAATCCAAAGGCCCGCCATTGGACAATTGAGAGGCAAACGAAGGAGGCCCGCTTCAGCTCTAGTGACTTTGGATTCTACCAATATGGTTGTATGTCATACGGGCATGGGTGCTCACCTGTTGCCCAAACTGGTGGGACCCTCGTTCTAAAACCCCCCCACCCCACCAGTTCAATTGACCCATTTTTCCACCTCTTGGCTGATGGGCCCCCAAAAGCAAGGCGGCAAAAACTGGCTTTCCCCTGACTCCAATGACTCCCGTGCCTCCTGCAGCAATTCCAAGGCGTTGCAGGGCTCCCTCCTGCAGAACCCTCGCCATGTGCGCGTGACGTGCTGCAATGTGTGTTGAGTCAAGGTTTATACAGCCGCTTTCTGTAAAAAATGGAAGAAGAGAAAGAACAGATGGTTGCAGATCTCCATTTAATGCTTTATTGATATTTGGTAGTTGATGACTATTTAAACCATAGTCTGTATCAGTTGTATTCAATCCAATTGTTTCCTGCAACTACTGTTAAGCAAGTGAAACAATTACTTCCATATTTATGCATAGTTGCTGGCTTGGACTGTTGAAATTTGATTCTGCCACATGTTTATCTGTAAAAAACGAAAATTTGAAAACACATACAATGACATGCGACTACACAGTCCCGGACAACCCCATGGAGATGCTAGAAAAGCAAAGGGACATGAAAGACTCTCGAACAAGGTGCCTGGTGGAATTGCCAGGAGTGATTTGAGAGAGGCTGCGCAAAGACACTACAGAGAGATACCACACAAAACAGGGACACGGAACTCACGAGGAGAGATTGTTTAGAGAGATTGCACAAACAAATGGCAAGGCTGATTTCCCTTTGGTGCTAAGAGGCTACTTTTTGGGCGAGAGCTGTGCACGTGAACGCGTTTGTGAGCCGTTTATCTGTGAGGCGTTTATTTGTGAGCTGTTTTTTTCGAAGTTTTAAGCACAACTTGATCTTGTGTAGGGTTTGACCAGGATGGATGATTCTCAGGAAAGTTGTTGTTTGTGCAATCCTCGATATTGAATCCTCAATCCAGTGGTAGAGCACTTTCAAGTGTGAGAAGAACTTGAATTGTTTGGGTTTGGCCAGGATCGACAATTCTCAGGAAAGTGTTCGGTGTAATCTTCAATCTTGATGTTTTCCATCCAGTGGTAAAATACTTAAGTGCTTAGCGATCCAGTGGAAACACGTTCAAGTTATTAGTTAGACAAAATTTCAAGGGCCTTTGGTGAGCGGTTTGCTTCATGTTAGCTAGCATGGGTAGGCGTAATGCTCAAAAACACAGTATTTTACAGAATTTTATGAAGAGGCGCAGGATCATTAGGGGTACTAAATGAATGTGTATGTATGTGTATATATATATATATATACATATGTATGTATGTTCACACACCGTCACCCCTTGAACTACCTCTCCACATTTGCTCATCTACTACAGTGCAAGCACTGTAGAAGAAATCATTGTATAGGAAATTGAGGGGCTGAGGGTCCCAAATCAAGCAGGTTGCAACTGCATTTGCCGCTAAGAAATTCAGCCCCCTAGATTTTCCGTCCAAATTCTTAGCCAACGTGTGGCTGGCGCGAGGAAGAAAACCACCCCCGCACGCCAAGAACTGAACCAATGATTTTGGTTGTGAGGTGCAGGTGCGGTTCCGTTACACCAGCTCACCTTGGTATGGGGTGGGCCTTGGATTTCTTAGCGGCCTTTTCGGGCGATGAACGGCCCCTTTCTTTGCTAAGAAATTCAGGGGCTGGATTTCATAGCGCCCCGCTATGCCTTTTCGGGCGATGAAGGGCCCCTTCCTTTGCCAAGAAATTCAGGGGCTGGATTTCTTAGCAGCCTGTTCGGGGCGATGAAGGACTCCTTTGCTAAGAAATTCAGGAACTCATTCCCCTATATAAACGAAGACAAGGTTAAGAAATTGGCTAAGAAATCCAGCCCCCCTGGCTCCAGAGGGGTAGAAACCAGCTCTTTAAAAGACGAAATGGACGCTAAGAAATTCATCCCGCCTGGGCCTCGACCAGCCGATTTTTCATACAGCGCTCGCACTGTGCCTCCACCTTTTGAGATAGAATGATTTTTGTTTTCCTGAGCGAATGGAACTTTAAATGCAACTGATTCAGCTAGAATCCCTGTATCGAAAATAGTTTTCGAATTTGAACCTCTCTTCCCTTGAAATGTCCTTTTGGAACACCGTCTAACAAGTTTAATTTCGGACCTTTCTTATGCTGCAAAAGGGCCAGGATATAGATAACGTAAATCGTATTTCGAATTTCCTTGTAGAAGTCGCTTAAATGTTTAGCCATATTTAATATGAACTATATTTGAGAAGTAGTCTCTATCTAATTGTTATTATAAAAAGCTAATTAAGTTTTGTTCGTATTATATTATATCTGACACTTAGAATATATGTGGGAATAAACTCCTATCCAACTTCTTTTGTTAAACATTAGTTGGAGTTTGCCCGAAACTATACTTGTATTCTCATGTAGCTTCTATTTGGAAGGGATTTGCTTGTATAAGCTGTAGTTGAGCAATGTTGAGCACAATCACATTTTTGACAACTATATCCTAACCAAATTATATTCAAAATTCCAATTCTAGCTAAAGTAAAATCCTATTGGAAAGGGTATCATATTTGGACATTTCGGAGGACTCCCAAACTATGAGGCTTTGGGGACCCACAATTGGAAATTTCGAGAATTTAAATCTCGAGATCCTGGATTTACCATCCCAAAAGGCAGCAAAACCAGGGTCCATCGGGGGGGGGGGGGGGGGTAGCGTGTATAATATATATATATATACATAGTTACATATACATATTTATATATACATATTTATATATACATATTTATATATATATATATATGTATGTCTTGCCATGATGGACTGCAAGCCCATTCGTCTGTGCTGAAAATCTATTGCAAAAAACTAAACTCTACAGCCTGCGCGCTGAAATCAAGCAAAACCTAGGCACCAGGGGGGGGATAGCATATAGATATATATATATATATATGTATATATATATATACATATATATTGTCACACCCCCCCCCCCAAGGCCCACCTTTTTCCTTCTTGCATGAAAGAGATTGATTTGCCGATGTTCAGTGTCCACTTGGTTTGCAGCTGCATTGCAGAAAACACTGTAATTTACGGTGTTGTTGTGCATTTGTTGATATTGTCTCAGATCCTCTTTCTGCGCTTCATGCAACAAAGGGTTCAAGAAAGCAACAAACACGAAAACGGAAAGCGTTTTCAGATGCAACTTTCTCAGTGTTCAAAACACTGCTATTTGCAGTGCTTCTTGAAGGAACCTGCAAAAAAACACCCTTTTTTAAACGGTGTTTGATGGCTTCAGACTCAAAACCTGCAGACTCCAAAAATACAAAAAAAATCCAAACCTGAAAATGCAAAAAATGCAAAACCCAAATGCAATGTCAGACGCCAGGGCTTGATTGGTCTGGATTTTTGCATTTTTTGCATTTCTTTGAGCATGTGCAAGTTTTGGAGCTTTCAGGTTTGAGCCTGTGCAGGTGTTGGAGCCTTGGGTGCGTAAAACCTGCACAGGCTCAAATAATACAAAAAATGCAAAAACCAGATGCAATGTCAGAGGTCAGGGCTTGGTTTGTTGGTTTCTTTGCATTTGTTTGAGCCTGTGCAGGTTTTGGAGCCTTGGGTGCTTAAAACCTGCACAGGCTCAAAAAATGCAACAAATCCAAACCTGAAAGCTCCAAAACCTGCACAAGCTCAAAAAATGCAAAAAGATGCCAAAAATCCAAAATCCAAATGCAATGTCAGACGCCAAGGCTTGATTGGTCTGGATTTTTGCTTCTTTATTTTTGTGAGCCTGAGCAGGTTTTGGAGCTTTCAGGTTTGGATTTGTTGCGTTTTTTGAGCCTGTGCAGGTTTTGGAGCCTTGGGTGCTTAAAACCTGCACAGGCTCAAACAAATGCAAAAAATGAACAATTCCTTTACTACACATTGGGCTTGGACAAGTTCGTGAGGAAGAGCGCGCTGGTGGCATTCAGGGCCGTTTCCAGAGAGTGTTCACTGGCTTCTGACATCATATCTAGTGTACAAGAAAAATATATACTTTGAATGACCTTGTTTGAGCTTCT